AGCTTGGGTCCCTCAACATGTAATATCCTGAGCCTCCACAACCAGGTAAAGAGACAACAAACAACACCCTGCGGTACAAGGTCACTAACGTCCTCTTAGGAAATACTTCCCCACAGTGGAGTAAGCACAGCAGGGAACGGAACTCCTTTGCTAATTCTGCACAGTATCTAGGAGAGTGTTTGGACTCTGCCTTGTAACACGTACATTTTCGCAGCTGTCTCTTCTACCAGAAAGTCAGCTCCTCGAGGGCAAGAACTGGGCACTGCATCCTGCTCCTCACTCTCCAAAGTGGTGTTTGGCAAATAGCAAATGATCAATATGTTTTGTTGAAAATGGGATGAAGAAATAGAGAAAAAAGAGGAGTGAGATGGAGAAAAAGGAAAAGAAAAACTTTTTTTTGCTTTTCAAATCCAACAACAGATTTCTTTACATGTCGGGGGAGGACTCTGACTGTGATACTGCTCATTTTGGTGGGGGGGAAGGCACACGCGAGAGGAGAAGGGGGGAAAGCACAGTGTGCAAAGTTGGGCAAGCCCTTGTGCTGGGTCTTCTTCTTTTTTAAGATCTTATTTATTTGAGAGAGAGAGAGCACAAGCAGGGTGAGGGGCAGAGGGAGAAGCAGACTCCCCGCGAGCAGGGAGCCTGCAAAGTAGGCAAAATTTTTAAAAAATTGAACCCCCCAGGGGTGCCTGGTGGCTCAGTCAGTTAAGCATCCCACTTGATTTTGGCTCAGGTCATGATCTTGTGGTCGTGGGATGCAGCCCCCCTGCCCTCCAAGGCTCTGTGCTCAGCGGGGAGTCGGCTTCAGATTCTCTCTCCTCCTGCTCACTCCCTCTCTCTCAAATAAATAAATAAAATCTTAAAAAAAAAATTGAACCCCTCAAGTGTTAACCAGAAAAATAATCTATTTGCCAGTGAGATCCACTTTGCAGCTGGTGTCCTCATGGGGGTTGCATTCATGGCCTGCCCCCTGGTTTTCTTCCTGCGCCCCTTCTCCTGGATGGCAAGCAAAATGGCCTCCAGAATTGGCCTCACTGGAGAAGGCGAGGTCCCGCCAGAACTCGTTTTGCCGTTTTTCTTTACCAAGAAGACCTGGCCACGTGTCGGCAACCAGGCAGCCACATGGAAAGGGAAAGAAATGAATGCAGTCCAAGAAAATCCAGGTGCATAGCTGAACACAAGTGGGTTGTTTGAACATTTTCTTTCAGATTCTGCTGCCGCGTGCCCTGGAGACACACAGACTTGCTCTGATGTCGGACTTCCAGGGTCCCCTTCTAGAGCAGAGCCTGACATTCTAGATAGGGCTGTGCTCCCCAGGAGAGGAGGCTCCCCGGTACAGCGCCCCTCTGGTGGGGGAGTTGATGTGTGCCAGGCACCCTCTGGCTGGGCTTTTTTGCCCCTCAGGGAGAGGCGGGTGGGAGGGCCAGGGAAGGCGAAGTGCAGGCAGGGCTTTGGGTTTCCCTCAGCCAGGATGTGCCCCAGGTTGGATGATTCGAGGAGCGTGACAGCCCACAACAAGGACCTCCAGCTGGAGGTCCACAGGAAACTTTCCCCGCTCTCCTCCACTCACGGGTGTGGTTCCTCCCACTGCTGCTATTTGTCTGTCAGTTTCATGTAAGGGAGCTTTGTGCTTAGAAATAAGACCCAGTGGGGCGCCTGGGTGGCTCAGTCGCTAAGCGTCTGCCTTCGGCTTGGGTCATGATCCCTGGGTCCTGGGATCGAGCTCCGCGTCGAGTTCCACGTCGGGCTCCCTGCTCTGCAGGAAGCCTGCTTCTCCCTCTCCCCCTGCTTGTGTTCCCTCTCTCGCTGTGTCTCTCTCTGTGAAGTAACTAAATAAAATCTTTAAAAAAAAATTTGGCTACTTTGATATCTCTGCTTGGATGTCTAATAGGCATTTCTGACAGTGACGTGCCCCAAACCAAGCTCCTGGTAGTATGGGCGCCCAACTATTCCTTTTGCAGCCTCCCCCATCTCAGTAAAGGACAGCGCCATGCCCTTCATTGCGCGGGCAAGGAACTCTGGATCACCCCTGCCTTCTTCTCACTCCCCACTTGTGGCCCTGCCAGCAAGTCCAGAGTCTGAGCCCTTCATTCCACCTTCACCGTGACCCGCCTCCTCTCACCTGTGTGACCCAACGGCCTCCGCACCGGTCCCCCTGCTCCCGCCTGCCCCTTGCAGCCTATTCTCAACTGGTCAGGGGGGAGATTTTCAAAATGTGAAGTCAGATACCTCTGGTTGGTTGGTTTTTGTTTTTTGTTTTTTTTTTTTTTTAGATTTTATTTATTTATTTGGGAGAGAGCAGGAGCGGAGGAAGGGGCAGAGGGAGAGAGAGAAGTAGACTCCCCGCCAAGCAGGGAGCCCAACGCAGGGCTCAATCCCAGGACCAAGAGATCATGATATGAGCCAAAGGCAGATGCCTAACCGACTGAGTTACCCGGGCGCCCCAAGTTGGATCCCTCTTGCACTCAAACTCCTCCGATGGCTCCCGTCTCGCCAGAGTAAAACCTAAATCCTTCTGTGACCTGCAAAACCCTGAAATACCTCAGGCTCCTCTCTTGCTCTTCCCCACCACCCTTCCACTTGGGCCACATCAGGGCCTCCTTGTTCCCTGAACACCGATATTCTTCTCCCCACCCACTTCCGCCCCCCTCCCGGCCTTTGTATTTGCTGTTCTCTCTACCTGGAAAGCTCTCCCCTAGATTTCCTCATGATTCACGCTTCAAATTGTACTCAAACGTGAACTTCATAGCGAAGCTTCCTCTGGTCTCCTAATAAAAAAATCCAGTACCTCTGACACTCCTCACTGCCTTACCCTGACTTACCCATTTTTTCTCCTTGGCACTCATCACTAATACTTTATGTGCTGGACTTATTTACCTTGTCCCCCACCGCCACTAGAATATAAGGATAAGATTTTCATCTGTTTGAATTAAGTGCTGGTAGTCGGGTACTCATAAATATATATGAAATGAATGAAGGATAGATCAGTACTTTTCCGTCATGACTCTGTTCTGAACGAGCCAAGCAGGCTCGTTCAGAAAGAAAGAAAGAAAAAACGAATTGGCTAGACAAATGATACAGATCAGAAAGAGTGAGAAAAGCCACTGAAATTCTATTTCTTGTAATGGTGGATTGAGTGATTGGGACCAACTCTTCCTCAGAGAACTAAAAAAGCTGGATTAAATGTGAAAAATGCCTTCTTAAATACATTGAAGAATTAGAACCTAAAGAGGTAAACATAAAAAGCTGCTTTTGTACTGAGGGTATCTGTTGACCTAGAAAGAAACAGCTAGAAACTTCACTGCATTCCTGGCCTACTCTAAGAGCTAGGGGGACCAAAGTCAAACCCAGGGTCTTCCAAGGAGCACACCGTGATAAGCCATCCCCACTTTAAGCTGAGATCCCAAAGACCTCTTATTGTCTGAATGTTTGCGTCCCTGCAAAATTCACACATTAAAATCCTAACCCTTGAGGGAACAGTATTAGGAGGTGGGATCTTTGGGAGGTGATTAGGTCATGAATGTGGAGCCCACATGAATGGGATTAGTGTTCTTATAAAACAGGCCCTAGAGACATCTCCCTCTCCTTCCACCATGTGAGGTTACAACGAAGACAGCTGTCTGTCTATGAAGTGGGTCCTTACTGGACACCGAATCTACTGGCACCTTGATCTTGGACTTCCCAGCTTCTGCACCTGTGAGAAATAAATGTCTGTTGTTTATGAGCCACTCAGTCTCCGACAGTTTGTTACAGCAGCCTGAATGGACTAATAAGACAGCTCTCAGGACAAGGGTGGACTAGAAGAAAGCAGATGTACAGCCTGGTTTTTCATCACCTGGAGAGTTCTAAGAACCACACGTCTTAAATCGTTTGAAGGTGGTCTCAGGCTGATAGGGCCTCCCAAGGCCCAGCAGAAACAGATCAAAATCCCCTCTGAGGAAGGTACCATCATCTCAGGCTTCGATTTACTCCTAAATACACATTTTCAAATACTATAACCAGTACACAGAGATAATCCAACACGCAAAGGGACCAGATACCAAGAGTGAGAGCCAGTTGAAACAAAAGACGACAAAACAGACTTACAAACCTTAAAATACTGGAACGTCAGACATAGTCTCTCACACAACCAGGCAATCATGCTCACTATGTTCAGAGCACTGAAAAGGCAAGCTTGAAAATCGCAAAGGAGAAGTAGATACTCTTTTAAAACATCTGAAAAAAAATTCTAGAGCAAGTATCATTGAAGGTGTAGACAATTTATGGTGGGCAGGGAACTGAACTCGGCGGGGGGGGGCGGCGGGGAGTGTCATGACACCAGTAATGTGAATTTACCTTCCAATAAAGATAAAGGGAAATAGGTAATCTTCAAAATAGGGGTGAGAATTCACTTTACATGCTTTTCAGCTAGAATGAAAACAAACTGTCAGCTAGCCCCGGATATACAGATTCTTAAATCCTACACTGGGGCGGGGGTGAGGGGGGGCGGAGGGCAGAAAGTAAGCTCTCTACTAGAGAGTTTATAAAAAGAGAAAAGAACACAACCAGTATCCAATTTCATCCCTCTCCGTACCCATAGACAGGGGGGCACATCCTGTATATAGCCTTTCAGCAGCTCCCCAAAAATAGGCCTCGCTGTGGTAAGAGAACCTCCATAGTGCTTCCAAGCATTCTGGCCTTAAGTCTGCTGGACAAGAGCAGGAATACTCAGAAGTCTCATCAAGGCTGTCTGCTTCCCACCCTATCAGAGGTTCTCAAGTGATGCTGGAAATGACCATCATTCCCGCAGCAAACAGCTGTGTCACATCCCGTTCCCCCCTCCCCCCACCCCCCGCCCTCTCCCTCCTTCCCCTAGCGGCTGTTATCTTTAAGCCACAAAGCAGACAAGAGAGAAACAATTAGTCATCCCAGGTTTTGCCCACTTTCCCCACCATCCCTGTGATTCTGAGCACAATCACTGTGGAAAACAAGATGGCTCTGGAAGCCAAGCAGGCACCTACAGGTCTGAAAGACTTGAAGACTTTCTCCAAGACTTCGTGGAGCGTCTTCTTGCCGCAGGAGGAGATGTAATCCTGTGCCAGCTGCAAGAAAGGCAGGCAGTCCTCGCTCTCGCTCCACACGTGCTACGTGCCCACAGCCGGGGGGCGGGGGGGGGGCGGGGGGGAAGGAAAAAAAAAAGACACACAGTCATTACCCTCAGTGTGAAATTTGAAAAGCCCGAAAAGAGTTGTTTTTTTTTTTTTTTTGAATGACAGAAATTTGAAGGCCTCTGTTCCCAAGTAAAATTCTGACGTTCATTCTTGATTCGCTTGCATTGAAGGGGATGAGAAAATGCCTACCCCGTAGAAAATCCCTGTGCTTTCCGTGCATAATCTCACCCGCTCGATTCACCAGCAGATCTGCTCAGCAGTAGCAAAAAAGGCCGGGGGGGAGGGGGATCAATAGTCCCCCACCCACAATTTCCACAGTCCTTCTTCTCAACCTGGGTAAGGCAGGTTTTAAAGCAGCAGGGAGGAAAAACCAAGAGCCTGCAGGATCTCTAACCTTGCCTTCAGCTATAGCTGAAGGGTTAATTAAGCACTGTTTGTAACCACTAACTTGCAATGAGACATTCTTTACTCAGATGAGCCTGTGAGTGGGAGTGATGGTATAGTTACTTTAAGATGAAATGAATTAAAACAAAACAAAACAAAAATGAAATGAATTTATAAGAACACCCAGAAAAGCCATCGCCGGGGTCATAGAGAAGCAAAGGCTCTCTGAAAGCTCACCTTCTTTACAAATGCTCCAAGAGGGCTTGCTTCCCAATGGTAACATGCACCAAGAGGAGACCAGTTTTAGGGTTTAGTTTTTCTTAAGGCTAGACAAGGTTTGGTGGGTTTTTTTGTTTGTTTGTTTTCCCGCATGAGGATATCTGTTTTAGCACCTCCTGAAGGCCAGACGAGGCTCTCCCAAAATGTTCAAAGATCTGGAATAAGCCCAAGAAACAGGCTTGAGGGATCCAAGTGCAGAACCCCCTGCTCTGCATCTCTGAGCTAGGGAGAGGCACTGGGCTACCAGGGTAACATCAGGGTATCTGACCAAGAGTCACTGTTTAGAGGGGACCAATCCATGACAGCTCCACCATTGGTGGAAAAGTGTAGCGGCGTGGGAGGGAGGAAGACATCTGGCAAATCAAAGCAAGCAGCAGAAACGAGGCAGCAGGAGACAAGATCTATTTGGAGAAATAGTCCATGCCAAGCACACCCTTGCTCCCGTCCATTAATACAATGATTAGGGCATCACCCCAGAAAGTTCTATGTCAGTCACTCAAGAGACACATTTCGCCGCCTTCCTTCTCCTTGCAGCATTTTTCTAAGAATGGGACCTACAGACTTAAAATACTGCTCAGACCCAAGAGACTAACTAGGTGCTAATGTGCCACTTCCCCCCAAAATTATCTGTGTTTTGTAGAAGTAAAGTTCCATTTCTGACACACACACTGCTCTAATTCCAACAGACTTCTGGAGGAACTTCTGCCCCGATCTAACAAAGATAACTTCTAGATTCTCTAACTTTAGACAATAGCTCAAACACAATTCTCTATTAATTAGAGACCCTTACAGTTGTCGAGCCACCAAAATGCCATTTATGTAATAGTCTCTTACATTGTACAAAAGCGTAATAGCACAAAGTGCTTTTAGATCCATCACCACACTTGATTCTCAAGCGGCAGGGATTCAGCAAGAACAATAAAGTCCTGCTTTCATATAAGCTCTGCTCAGCACCCATTTTCATGCTCACATTTTTAAAAGGTCCAGCATGTTTCAAATTCTTAACCAAGTGAAAGACGGGATTAATATCTAGTACCGCACAATAAAAAACTATAATCCTGCCTTTCCTAGACTTGTAACAATTAGAGAAAAAGGAAAAAGTTTATCAAGTGCCTGGCTGGCATGCAGTGGATGTTCAATAAATGGTGGGCGGTAGGTGTAAGCACCCCCTTACCTCTTTTGTGTCTGCAGGAGAAGGGGGAGGAAGGGCATGGGCGGGCTTTCCACCTGCCCTAAGCCGAAGGGCATGCGCCGAGCAAATGAGACACCCACTGTGATTTCACGGAGAACAGTACCCAAGGCAACCTGAGTTCTAGTTCATTCACAAGTCGGTGTAGCTATGAGAACCCTGGATATCTACTTTTGAAAGTATATTTGGGCTTTAAATTACAAAGTAAACTAAGGAAAGTATATCACTCAGGCAACAGACTTGCCTCATATCCACTACTGCTTGGAAATTAGACAGGTTCTCTAAGTGTTTCTAGGGCATTTCTAACCTCGTGAGGAGAGTGTTCAGGCCACAATTTTTCATTGCTCCACTTCTGGAGTTGCTGACTTATGAATATATTTTGGAGCAGGAAGACTTACCACCTGCTAAAGGGCCTTCTGTCTAGTCTGCCTAAATCTCCTTGATTTGGCTGTCTAACTCTCAGTCGTGTTGGTTTTGTGGGTTTAAAAAAGTTTTAACCAAATCCCTGCCCCTATGATAACATGAGGGTGAGTGGGGTTTGGAGTCAGACCAACTCAGGTGCCTGTGGCTGCTTAAAGGACATCCCTTACTTAATGCTAATTGTTTCATACCCACAGTAGCTCATCACAGAACGTATTCAGGTTTATTTATTGAAACTGTTTCCTTCCAAAATGAATCAAGGCAGTCATTAAAGACCCATAAAAGACAAGGTAAGAGTCTGTAGTTGGGAAAATAAGGACAGAGGGAAAACAATGGAAGGAGAAGAATATAAAACCAAGTGAGATTAGGACCAACAGTGCCAGATAAATAGGCCTGGCCCTTTGCTGTGGATGGGACACAGACTGCCTCTACAGCTTTCTACAGGCCTATGCAGAGAAGGAAGTTCCATCAGTGGCCCGAGGCAGTGCCCCCGGAAAAAAACAGACGAGCTCTTCAGAACAGGCGATAGACTGAGGGTCATTTCTTTGGAAAAAGAGAGGGGCCCATTCTAAAACCCGGAGAGGGCAGACAGAATGTCTGGTGGCTGGGCTGATGTTCCGGAAAGCAGATTCTGGGGTCTAGTCTTAAACAAAGATAAATGGGTGACTGAAGACCCAGAACCCTGCACCACCGGGTGTGTCCACAATGACTCCGACTTGGAAGTTCAACCAGCCACTCTGGCCATGAAAAAACTATAGCAGAGGTCAGAGAACCTGTGGCTTTGAACAATGTAACTCTCTGGCAAATATAAATCCAGGTACAGAATGTATTGACTTCCCAGCCATGCAGTGAGAGCTAAGGCACCTTATAACAAGAGGAATACCAAGGGAAGGCTTCTGAAGGAGTGGACAGCAGGGGTTCTCAAGCTTCAGCAAGCACCACAACACCCCCCTTCCCCATCCCCCAACTTATTAAGACACAACTGCTAGGGGTAGGGCTAAGAATCCGCATTTCCAACAAGTTTCCAGGTGCTGCTCATGCTGCTGGCTTTGGGCCCACACTTTGAGAACCAGAACCAGAGCAGAACTTTGACAAATCATATTTGGGGGCGGGGGTGAAAATCCCTGATGAGAACTTTGATTTTAAAACAGGCCATCTGTGGCCCTTCTGTCATTAAGTTGGACCAGAGTTTAGCATCAAAGTTTGTCCAGCTTAAGGCATTAGAACCGTGGCATCTGCACACAGGAAAATGAGCACCTTTCTGTTTTCTATAGTATAGAGGAGAACATCCAGCTCATCCAAAAATGGTCTTAGACCACCATGGTAATTCAATCCTGCAAATATCTTTCGGAGCACAGTCTGTGTGCTCCTACCGTTCTAACACTTGTGGGCATGGCGCTTGGCTTCCTGGTGCTTAGGCAGGGTGGGGGGTGGCTGAGGGGCAAAGAACACACCTGTTTCTCCTCCTGGACTCAGTCATCGGAGTGAAAATTCATTGCCAGGGGCCTCATTCTCACTGTAGTACTGCCGTGTGGGGTTTCTGCCATCATTAGTACTGGGGAGTCGATTTTGAGTTGGTGTGGCTTAACCCAAAACTGACTGCTGTCCATTGAAGAGATGCTAAAAGAGAAAACCTACAAGCCATCTCATACCACCCAAAATACTTCTGCACAGGGTAAGTAAGAAGAGTGTGGCTGGCCATACCTACGACCAGCTCTTTGTGCCGACCACTGATAGGTTTTACCAAGGAGGAAACTGAAGCTCAGAGAGGTTAAGTAACTTGTCTGTGGCCACACAGAGAGCAAGGGGCAAAGCCAAGATGTCAACAGAGGTGAGCACACATTCAACCTGAGCCTCAGCTCCTTCATTTGTAAGTCATAGAAAATAATAATATAGTGTGGTTATCAAGATGATAGGGGCTAGCCTATAGACTGCCTCTCATTTAGCAGGAGCCCAGAGTGCTTCTTCCCATCTGTTGAAATTCATATTAGCATAATTTCACTCTCCTCAGGATGACCACTTCATGAATATACTAAAGACATACGCTTTCCCCTAAAGAATCTCTGTATGAATAGTGCACAGCCATTGTGGTAAGCTTTACAGTTACCACAACCCCTCATTTAATCCCCACAATAATAACGTAATATAGGTATGATTATCCCCATTTGACATAGGAGGAAACTGAGGGTGAGTTTAAATTGGACAAGAAGGTGCTTTTTCTCCACTGTCCCACCACATGAGGTGATGCAATCTCATTTAGACAAGTTCTGTTTTCTTCTCCAAAATGAAAAGGTTGTTATTTGGTCACGTAGTTAAGAATAGAGACATGCCTAGAACAAAAATGGGGGAAAATATATACAGATACATGTATACACACACATAAAATTAAATCACATGGTCCTTCTATAAATAGAGCCTTTTTTCTTTAATAGAGTGACAACTGCTATCTTTGTTTTCACATTGAGGAGGGATTAAACTGTACAAAATTTTAGATCCAAACATGTTTTTGATGGGTTGGCAGAAAAAATAGGACAATAAGGCAACCCTCCCCTTCTCCAGTCATGAGCACCCAGGCGCCAGGGAGCCGCAGGGCAGTGTTCTTGGTTTAGAGCTCCTTTCTCCTGGCCTAGGACAAGGACGGAAAGCAGCTGGTGCTGCCGTGCCCAGGAGAGCATGCACATGTGCCCCTCTGTCCAGCTGGTACCTTAGTGGATGCCAACACCCCACTCCTGCAGCCTGACGAAGCCCTCCGGACCTTTTGTTGTTGGCAGAAGGGAGCATGCCACCTGTCTGGGAGCTCTCGGCCCCTCCCTGTCGCACCTGCAAAGCCAGACAGGGTTGCCTCTGTCCCCGATTGCTCAACATAGAGGGCAAAGGCAGCTTCATTTTATCCCAGGACCTGACCTTGTGCACTGTCCACAGAGACAGGCCTGAATCAGGGCAGCAGTGCGGAAAGGGATGGTGTGAACAGGGTGGCCTGCGAGAGGAGAAGAGGAAACAGTGCACAAGGGACAGAGGAGCTGCCAAAGTGGACGGAAAATAAAAGGAAGCCCTTGTTCCTCAGGCCCTCTGGAGCTCCTGGCTTGACACTCTGCATGGTGCAAATGACAGGCCTCTGGGCTTGAGCTCAAGTCCTGGCTATCATTTCTTAGAGGCATAGTCTTGGATAGATTCCCTTCAATGGAGCCTGTTTCCTCACCTATAAAATGGGGTTCATACCTAACTCACAGACTTTTTGTGAGGCCCAATAAGAAGCCGCCCTTGAACCCACGGTCTGAATTGGGTCTCCAGCTGTCATTCCAGGGACGCTCTGTTTTCAGTATAGGGCTATGGTTCGAGTTGCTCTACTATTTATTAGCTATGGAAAAGTTAGTACACCTTGCTGTCAGTTTCTTCATCTGTAAAATGGAGAAAATCACAGAGAGGACCTTGTAGGATTACTAAGATTAAACAAGCACATATACACAAAGTACCTACTGTATACACAAAGTAGAACAGTGTCTGGTACATAGTAAATTGCACATAAGTGGTAGTTACTGTTCTTTGAAGCTGTCATTCATGAAATTTAGCATCTGCCTTCTTCACTATCATTCGTGGTATGATAGTGACTTATACACATGGGCTGAGCACCTATCAAAGGTCTGATACTACTCCAAGTTCTGGGATACAGTGATAAATCAGACAGATAAGGCCATTGCTCTTATGAAGCTTACAGCCTCATGGGGCAGGCAGAAAACAAATAAGAAGAGTATAAAGTACTAGTGAGTGCTGCGATTTGAATAAAAGAAGGTGAGATGAGGGGATATGTGGTCAGGAAGTTTTCTCCCGGGCCTGAATGGCATAAAGGAGCTAGCCATGCAAAGATGTGGGGGAAGAATATTCTAGGCACAGGGGACAGCAAATGCAAAGGCCCTGAGGCAGGAATGAGTTCGGCATGTCTGAGGACCAGAAAAATCAGCATGGCACAAACACAGTAAGCAAGGAGGAAGACTGGTGTAATATGAGGTCAGAGAGGTGGCAGGAGACAGACTGTGTGGGGGTTTGAAGCCAGGGCAAGGGCTCAGGTTTTATGGTCAAAGTTATAGGAAGTCAGTTTAGGTGAGGTGGAGAGCCATAGGTCATGACCTGGATTATATTTTAAGTAGAGCCAGAGTGATTGCTGTATGGAGACTGCCAGAGAGTCACTAATAGCACCACCCCTATTTTAGGCACTGTTCTAAACAAGCCTGCTGGGAAGGTACTAATGTTATCATTCCCCTGTTTACAGATGCGGAAATCATGGCACAGAGGGATTAAAGAACTTTCCCCAACGCACACAGTTAGACGTGGGGGCTGGGATGCAAGCCCACGTAGCCTGACCACTGTGCCACACTGCCTCTTAAATGGGCAGAATGGCCCCAGGAAAGTGAGGGCAGAGATCCTATTTATATTCTAGGTAGCTCTGGCCTGGTGCAAAGCAAGCCCTCGATAAATGTTTGATGAATAAACGAATGAATGAATGAGTCACGTGAAAATACTTTGTAAATTGAGAAAAGCCACGTAAATATTCTTATTGTTAATAAATCCTTCGGATTACAGGAGTTCCATTCATCTCAAATTTCTTCTAATGCTTAACAGGATTTTCCTGGGAAAAGGAAAACGATGGAGGTAGGACACTTACTTCATGCCTGAGTCCCTTTAACTAGGGGCAAATGGCAGCTTGACAAACCTGGCCTGGGACAGATCTGAGGAGAGATTCGGGCTAAGAAATCTCTGGTGGTTGGCATGCTGTTCATTATGGCCTCCAGAAACTTTAAGAATGTTCCAGTCTACCCAAGAAATTACTTTTTCCTTCCATCCACTTTCTTCCTTATCTATTTCATCTAATTGTTAGAGAGTGAATATGTTCAAGCATTTTACTCACACAGGTGGGAAAATATTTAAAATATATTATGAATGGCCTTGAAAAAAGTTGTGATATACATAATGTTTCTCAACAATGGTTCTCCGTGGAGTAATTTCTTTGGGTATGTCTCCGGCAGTTCCAGCAAGAAGGCTGTGTGGAACTCTCCCCCATAAAATACAGAACCTTGGGTGATTCTTGCTCTATCTCACACAGTAAGGAGTGGGAAAGGCCACTGGCAGACTAGGGTTAGGAGCGACTCCTAATCAAACCCTAATGTGGCAGTCAGTTGGACACTGGGGCCCTTTCCAGTATAACCCTGGGGTTTTCTCACGTTTGCAGTGGAGTAAATCCCTTTTTAACGATCTCCCATTTTCCCCCAATAACAAATAACACTTATTTTAACTACAGTTAACAGTGTTCTTACATATATTTATAGTTTACTTGCTCTTCACACGTCCCTGCGATGGAGGTGTTCTGAATAACCTCATTTTACAGGTGAGAAAATTGAGGCTCTTAAGAAAGACAGACAAGCTCTAAACTCTGGGGAAGCCCAGGTCTCTGAGGAGCCTTTGCTGTTTTGCACAGAGGTGGTTAGGTGTTTTTATCTATGGATCACCTGGGTGCTGGTATTATGCCCATTTTTTGGATGTGTAAGCTGAGCTGCCGGAAGACATCTGACCAGAGTCACACAGGCAGAACTCAAATCTGGCTGTCACCCAAGGCATCTCTCTTTGAGTGCCCCACTCTGGAGCCCAGGTGTGTTCTTCCCGTCCGCGGGGCTAGGGTGCCGGTGGTGGGAGGGGCATGCCTTCCCGGCAAGTCACACACAAGCCTTCGTCTCTCGGGGGGGGGGGGGGGCAAGGAAGGCGATCCTGCTGTCTCTCTAACTCCTCTGCGAACTTCCCGCGGCGGGCAGGGTTGCGCGGCGGCCGGGACCTGGGCCCGGCTTTGTCTCCCCCACCTGAGGGGCCAGCGCCAGGCCGCGCCTCGGCGCCGCCCCACCTCGGTCCGCAGGGGCGGCAACAGCGCCAGCTCCAGGCTCCAGCCGGCGACCACACGGTAACCCGAGCCCACAGCCGCCTCCATCTTACATTTGGGGACCATTATTTTTCCCCCGGCCTTACAAACATTTCATGGAGCGCCATCCTCGCCCATTCTGCGCACCTCCCACGCCAACTCCCCTGCCCGCCGCATCCCCTTCCTAAACTGCCAGCGCCAAGATCCCAAGCGGGCGCAGGATACAAAGTGGAAGAGGTGGACCCCGCAGTTCCAGGTCCCGGTCCCTCCTAGCTCGGGGCGGGAGTGGAGTGGGGGAGGGGGGTTCCCCTCAACTGGAAAAACCCGGGGGCTTCGCCAGGGCCTCGGCCGCCGCCTCCGCCGGACGGAACCTGCTCGGGCCCCGCACACCTCGCTGGAAGCTCACAGAGGAGCAATGGAAGCATAGGAGAGGGGGGATAGGCGTGCCCGTGTGTGTGTGTGTGTGTGTGTGTGTGCACGCGCGCGCGCACGCGCGTGTGCGTTTTTAAGATCCGAGGTGTAATTCCGCAAAGAAGGTCCAGGAGATGGGGCATCGCTAGTGTGGACCGAGGCTTTGTGTCCAAACCGGCAGCGCAGGAGATCACACGGGGGCGGGGGCTCTCCCGGGCGGGGCAACTCGAGGAGTTGTGTCAGCGCATCGCGAGGGGAACGGGATTCCTCACCCCGACGGGACGCCTGGGTGTAGGAAGCTCGAGACTCCGGGCCCTGCGGGACGGTCCGTGCGCCCCGGCCCGGGCTGGGGAGCAGAAGCTCCCAACCGAGCACCAAGCACGGGCCGCAGGGTCGCGTCCCCGAAACAGCCCAACCCCAGTCCGGCTCCCGGGTTCTAAGGGCGCCCCTGCCCGCCGCCCCCCCGGCCCCCCCCCCCACGCAGCGCTGACACCGCCACGCCGGGCCGGTTACGCCTCCACCCCGCGCCCACAGCCTCCCCGGCGTGCGGCAGCTCGGGCGTAGGGAGGCGGCCGAGCGTCCACTCCCGCCCGCTGCAGCCGTCCCTCCCCCCGGCACTCACAAAATTGTCCCCGCAGCCGTTGTCCGGACACAGCACGTAGAAGGAGACGCCGGGGTCGGCGTAGAAATCCATCCTGCGCTCGGTCTCCTCGGTGGCGATGAGCTCGAAGGGCGTGTTGGAGCACCATTTCTCCGCAACGTCAGCCAGCTGCTGGAAATCCATCCTGGCCCGCCGCGCCCGCCGCTCGCTCAGCCTCCTCGCGCGCCGCCCGCCTCCCGCTCCCTCCGCCGCCCGCCCGCCCTCCTCTCTCCTCGGGCGCCCTCCTCCCGGGCGGGCAGCGCGCAGCTCTGCGGGCTCTCGGGCAGGCGGCGGGGCCGGGCGGCGCGGCTCCCTCCGGTCCCGGGGCTCCTCCCGGCGGGGACTGTTTACATGCTGTGTGTACGGGGTGGGCGGCGGCCTGGACGGCGCGGCGGCGCGCCCGGCTCCGCCCCGCCCCGCCTCCCTGCCCGCCCCTCTCGGGCGGCAAGGTTTGCGGCGGGGGGGGCAGGGCGGACTCCTCGGTTCGCCCCCACCACCCTTTTTCTTTCTTTCTTTTTTTTTTTCTTTCTTTCTCTCTTTTTTTAAATAAGCGAACCCAGTGCATCGGAACATCCCGGAGTCCTCCCGAGCCCGGCACCCCCTCGTCCCGTGACGTCATGCGCCCCAGCCAATCACCGGAGGCTGAGACGGGCGCCGCTGTCCGCCAGCCCGGTGACGTCACAGCGCTGACCCGAAATCCGCGGCTTTCCAGTTTACAGTGAAGCGGGAATGCTCGTAGTCCTGGCTAGCGTTTATTCGTTGTTAGAAGGCCTTGTCGGGAAAAGTGTTTTCCCAAGTGCGATTTAAGTGCAGGGGACGCCCACAGAATTGCAGATAACTTGTACCTTGTCTGAGGCTAGCAATGGAGGAGCTGAGAAAATCTAAGGGAAACGGAGCTTTTCTTTTTCAGAAATCAAAGCTCTGTCCTCTGATTGATGTAAAAAAAAAGTCTCTCCTAAATACATTTACTAGACACTGATATGAGTATCCATTTGAAAGAAAGATGAAAGGTTTTGGGTTTTTTTTTCTTTTTTTCTTTTTGCGTGACCATAAAGCTGAATATTTCTTAGAAATAAGCCTAGTAAGACTACTAGTTTGAATATTATTCACCTTCAATTCATACTGCATAACTTAAAATGACCAACTACTAGGTTGGAGAGGAGAAAGTACATAAGTGTACAAGTGTACACAGCCCCATGATTGCACCTGTTGAATGCTCACTGGTTGCCAGGAATGGGACAGGCATTGCCGGATTGCAAAAAATGCACCGGAAAAGCCCTCGCCCACAGGAATTGAACGACTACTAGCAGAGACACGTTAAATAGCACTCATTCTACAAGCGGTCAATTAGCTTTTGTCTTTAAAGTTGGTCTTTTGAACCGGGCACCATGCTAGCCCTAGGGATATAAATATGAATAATGTGTAGTTCCATCCTGAAAATGCTGGCAGACTAGCCTAGGTAAGCTCATGACACCATCAACCCTCTGAACACACCCTTTACTCAACAGAATGGGTGTGATTCTGGAAAATTGTTCTATTGTACTTTTCTGGGATAGGGATTCTTTTTCCCTTGACTTCCCTTACTAAATCACAGCTGCATTCCCATACTGAAAGTAGAAACTCCACTTAATCTTTTGGTAGAGGCAGACTGGGTCAGGATGGTGATCAGCCCAAAGGCATTCTGAGCACTGCCTATTATATTTTTCCTGATGGGAGTTGTCCTCACCTGGAAGTTAATGCTCCCATGTAACAATTTCCTGACTTCAGAATTTCCCAATTCCTTTAAAACAATTTAGTTCAGTGAACATTTATGGAGCATCCACTGGGTACCAGACATACAAGGCCCAATTTTTGCCACCAAGGAATTTACAGACTAGACTATAAACTAGGCAGGATTCTAAGTTGATCCCCAAGCTCCATGCCTGCTTGATATACACGCACCTTCTCCCAATTATTCAGACACTAATCAAGGTATTGCTGTGAGGGATTTTACAGATGTAATTAAGATTTCAAATCAATTGACCTTAAGATAGGGAGATTGTCCTCGTGGGCCTGGCCTAATCAGGTGAGACATTAAAAGGGACTGGGCTTTTCCTGGAGAGAGACTCAAAGCATGAGGTAGATTCATCATCAGGGAGATTCTCCACTAATGACGTTGGAGATGGAAGGGGCCATCTGGCAAGACCACGCAGCCGAGTCTAGGAGCTGAGAGCAACCCCTGGCCAACAGTCAGCAAAGAAATGAGACTTCAGTTTTACAACTTCAAGGAACTGAATTCTGCCAATAATCTCAATGAGTTTGAAAGTGGGTTTTCTGCAGTCTCCAGATGAGAAGTCAGCCTGACTGACACCATGATGTAAGCCTTGAGAGAACCTGAGCAGAGAACACAGTTCCGTAGTGGCTGTGCAGGAACTCCTCACTTACAGAACTGTGAGCTAATAAATGGCTGCTTTTTAAGTTGCCAAGGTTTTTTTTTCTTTTAAAGATTTTATTTATTTATTTGACAGAGAGAGACATAGCGAGAGAGGGAACACAAGCAAGGGGGAGTGGGAGAGGGAGAAGCAGGAGCCTGATGTGGGGCTCCATCCCAGGACCCTGGGATCACGACCTGAGCCGAAGGCAGACGCTTAACGACTGAGCCACCCAGGCGCCCCAAGTTGCTAAGTTTGTTTTAATTTGTTATGTAGCATTCGAAAACCAGTACACAAGACAAGGGAGGAGACAGGTAGGTGAATAAAAAGAATTTCAATATGCTCTTGTAAATGTTACAAAATGTTGCTTTTTTTTCTTTCTGTTTTTTTAATAAGGGCACCTCAGGATAGAGCAAGCTTCTGGTTCTGCCATTGAAAGCATTATATGCCTTAGTCTGAAAGTTCCAAAAATGAAAAGATTCCTTAAATTTGAGACTAAAATATATAAAATATAGGGCGCATGGGTTGCTCAATTGGTTAAGCGTCTGCCTTTGGCTCAGGTCATGATCCCAGGGTCCTGGGATCGAGCCCCGTCTGGGGTTGCCTGCTCAGCGGAGAGTCTGATTCTCCCTCTGCCTCTCCCCCTGCTCATGCTCTCATGCAGTGTTTCTCACTCACTCACTCGCAAAAATTAATAAAATCTTTTTTTTAAGATTTTATTTATTTATTTGACAGAGAGACAGAGAGAACACAAGCAGGGGCAGAGGGAGAGGGAGAAGCAGGCTCCCCACAGTGCAAGGAGCCTGATGCGGGGCTCTATCCCAGGACCCTGGGATCATGACCTGAGCCGAAGGCAGACGCTTAACAACTGAGCCACCCAGGTGCCCCTAAATAAATAAAATCTTAAAAAAATATATAAAATACATAGCTTTTCTTGGAAAGGAGGGAGCTTAAAAAATAGCTGTGCTTTTAAATCTATCTATGAAGTTTGTTCTAAGTGATGGATGACCATAATTACAAAGTCATATTTATGTAACAAATACTTTTTGTCAGAAGATGAAAAATTCTCATGATGAAAAATAGAATTCTGGGTATAAAGCAATTGCTTAATGAATTGAATACTGTTGGTTTCCTTAGAAAGGCATTGAGTGAGGGGGCCTGGCTGGCTCAGTTGGTGCAGCATGTGACTCGATCATGCCATCATGAGTTCGAGCCCCACATTGGGCTTAGAGCTTATTAAAAAAAAAAAAAAAGAAAGAAAAGAAAGAAAGGCATTGAGTTAAAGAGCAGAAACTTTGGAATTCTGGATTAATTTCCTCTGAGATTTTCAGTTTTATAGACATTTGCAACTTACTCAATTGCCTGGAGCCTCAATTTTCTCTTCTGCAAAATGGGGACAATAGTGACATAAAGTATGTAAACTCCTTGTTCCATAAGCTGGCACACAGTAAGAACTCAGTAAATGCCATTATCACTCTTAATCTGCTTGTGGAAGATGATTTGTAGGAAGACTGGTTGATGAATTTTTTTTTAAGAATTTATTTATTTGAGAGAGATAGAGCATGAGCAGAGGGAGACGGGTAGAAGGAGAGGAAGAAGCAGACTCCCTGCTGAACAGGGATCCCAACACAGAACTCGAACTCACAACCCCGAGATCATGCTGAGCCAAAATAAAGAGTCTGACTTTTAACTGACTAAGCCACCCAGGTGCCCCTGGCTGATGAATTTTAAAGTAAAATTCAGGAGTGACATGAGGGTGAGTAGCTAGTGAATAGTGGTCACAGATGAAGGAAAACCTCGTTTTTTCCAAGCACTTAGAGCAGAGTTTCTCAATAGCAGCACTATGGATATTTGGGGCTGGGTAATTCTTTCTTGTGGGGACTTGCCTGTGTGTCGTAGGGTATTTAGCAGCATCCCTGGCCTCTACCCAGAGAGGCCAGCAGCCTCTCCCCCAAGTCCCCCCAGCTCGTGACAACTGAAAATGTCTCCAGACATCACCAAACATTTCCTGGAGGGCAAAACTGCCCCTTTTTGAGAACTACAGATTTAGAGAGAAAAGTCTTGCACAAGGCTGAAGCAAGCCTTATTATTATTAACTAACGGAAGGGATGTGCACATAAAGCAGTGCAAATGGTCCTGGAAAGTGCATCCACACAAGTCGCTTAAACCTTAGTTTCCCTAACGCAACTTGGAAAGTCAGTTGCTTGGACCAGAAGATGATATCACTCTGCCTCCCACCCATTTGGACAGCGTCCTGGGAGGCCTCTCATGTAGAGATGTATTCAGGCTCCAGGTACAGGACAGTGGTCATTCCAGAACCTCAGCCAGGTCTTTCATGTAGCCTGAGGGTGAAGAAACATTAGGGCCTCCTGAAGCCCCCTTCTTGTTCTGCCTCTGGAAGCAGAAGGAAAGTGAAAACATACCCCATCGGTGGGTGGAGAGTTGTGTAGCACTCATTGCATGCAGAGAAATGTTTCTTTTCTTTATACGAAGCTCAGAGCTCGACTTCGATCTCTGAACCACTGTTTGTCTTTGGGAGATGTGTGTTGGTAAGACGAGAAGGCATCTGCAAACCCCATGCTGGCTGGAATGTCTCAGGAGCCCAATTTGGAATTGCCAATAACACCCTAGATTCTCCTGCTGCTCAAGCCGACTCTTCCACCCAGCCCTGTTCTAAGTCCTCTGTGGCTTTTATTCTAGTGTGAGTAAGGCTGACTTTACCATATAATTTTACCTTTTATTTACTCCCACAGTGTAAGTCCATTTAATGAGCCCTCCCCTCTAGCCAATCTGCTTCATCCACACAGCTTTGTGATTCTATGGTATGAGGAATCAGGCAGAGAGGGGAGTGGGGCTGGTTCCACATTCGTCCTTTGAGCCCATGGCAGTCACACGGTATCAAGAGGGACAGTTGACCCCAAGGTTCAGGAGGTGGTGGACAGTAGA